GAGCAATTACAACAACATACAATCTATGGACATATAATCCCTCTACATCCATTCACTTTTGTATAGGAAGTAAGAAATTAACATTGGTATTGTAGAATTTCCTGGCTTTAGATACACAGGAAAAAATCTATTTTGCTTTCTTTTTTTGTTGCCACTTACTGAATGAGAGTATTTTTCAATTATCATTAGTATAATGTCATTTTCTATGTTAACATGACCAACTTGTTCTGCTGCAATGAGAATAGGATCGGTGCCATTATGAAACGCATATTACGTGATTATTATAATCATATACAGTTACTATCGTTCATAATTCTCTACAGAATCAGGGCCCAACAATGGATGAGTGGATAAAACCATTGAACATTAAAATTGCGAAAAACTCCACGTGCCTGACCCACGGACTGGCCGCGTGGAGTTTCCACGTGTCTGACACCTAAATAGGGGTTCAGTTTTCCATAGAAAGTCCTCCCGGGAAGCTTTCCTCTTAGCAGATTGCCCTTGTCTTGCAGTGGCGCGTTATAGCTTCATGGGCTTCCAGGAAAATTCGAATTAGGAATCTCGATATACAATTTTGACTTCAGACATTTTTTTCAGGGAAAATTTTGGGGAAAATATTTTTTCATAAAAGATTGGTTTAGAGCTCCCTGTTAGTGGGGCCCCAAGGCAATTTCCCTTTTTGCCCATAGGATGACGCGCCACTGTTGTCTTGGTTGCCATATCCATTCAATCCAAATCCTCTGTAATATAATCTGATTATACAAAAATGTATAAAAAGCTTTAGTTTATATCAAAATGGACCACAGATCAAAGTTATTACACTGGTCTTGCTTATTCTATCTCATTTTAAACAATATTATCAACAAATTTATGATGAAAATTCGGTTAGTAGAACAGTTTGTCTTCAGGAAAATGTAATTATAGGGAGAATAAAACAGATAAAATTGTAAACTGATGATAAAATTTGATATACAGTCGAATCTCCAATAACTGCCACCTTTAAACAGCGGCCATTTTTTCAGAGATCTTTTTTTCTTTGAACAAAAATGCATACAAAATAACTTCCAAACAACGGCAATTTTTTAAAAATATTTCTGCCAATGGCCGCTGTTCAGAAGTTTGAATGTAGTTAAGAATTATTAAAAAATTCATTTATGAAAGAAAAAAAAGTTAAATTTTCTACGGGCAATTGCAATTTTTGACAACATAGAAGACATTTTAACTGCTGACAGATTCAATAATTGCTATGTACTCATCATTGTCAGTTTGATTGCTTGTAAAGATGATCAATCATCATAAAAAACAGTAAAAAATACGTTATTAGCAACAGGATTTTTTTCCAATTAAAATTTTAAGAAATTTAACTTTCTCTAAAAATGAAACAATTAAATTTTCTGTTTTTAAATTTTAAAAAGACAATAAACGAATATATAAAAAAAAGAATATAGATTATAATCAAACAATGAATAGCTTTTTATAGTTATAGTATCTTGCCCACAATTATCCTATTAATAATATAGAAATGATTATATACAAAACAGTATCAGATAAGTTTTGGGAGTATTATTCTTTTCGAATAACCTAATTTTCTATGATTAATGAATTTTTAAAATTATAGTTTGTAAGATATTGCTTCGTACTTTGTACCATTCTACTAGAATAAATGCTAAACCAAAGTAAAATTCACATCTTTTCACTGTAATTAAGGTTAAAAAGGGCATTAACTAGTTTCAAACTCATAAATATTCATTCGAAAAATAAAAATTAGAATTAATTTCGATTACATCTTGAAACTTTCTTATCTTCCCTTATAATCATTTGCTCATCAAATATTGTAACATCATTAAAAATGTCCTTAAAATAATTTTAAAGATTAAAGTTAGAGAATGACATAGAAGCGGTTTCTCTGATGTAGGACATGCGTCAGTTCTACGTCATTTCTTATCGATAAATCTTATATGAATATAAATTAGCAACCGCCTATAAGACACTTTTATCTCTTTAAAAGTGTCTTATAGGTAAAGAAAATTTGCCTCGTATTAAAATTTCACAGAAGAATTTCTTTGTCAACTCCCCATAACTCGAGAATCCTTAAGGTTAATGAACTTTCAGAAAACGAAGATCGCGTGACTTTCACTCATTTATATTCGTTTGTGACATCACTAACGTGTTTTAGAAAGCTCGCATTTGACTCGGATGATATTTAAATTTTTAAATTAATGATTCTTCTACTGTTTTACATTGATGAAATAGAAAAGAAACTTCAAAGACGTATGGAAAAACGTCATCGTTTTAATACATGGCCTAGTTTTCAATCAAGTCTGAGCAAAATCGAACAATGACCCCAGAGAAAAGGCCTCGTTCCTACGATGAGGTCACCTTCTCTCTTTAGAATCTCAGCAGGGATTTTTTTGTTTAGGGAGGAGGAAGGTATGACCTAAAGTGGCAAGAGATCCAATGTTAAGGACAAGCAAAATCCAATCATTATTTACTTAAGAGGAAAAAAAACCCAGTTAAAGTTCTAAAAAATTCGAAGTAGAATTTTATAAAATAGTCGACTATAAAAAGAATATATTTTTTGTAAGTCTCGCTCTATTTTTCATGTTTTACAAATTTACACAACCATAAATTTCCACTAGACAAAAAAAAAATTGTTTAAGAGTAAATGAGCTATATCTGTTATTTTAAGTTTTCACAGCACAAACGTTTTTATAATTTCAAGAAATTTATAATTAATATAATAAAATAAATTCGCGTACCGACTTAAAAAAAATAACAAATATTTTTAACTATAAAAAGTTAATAAACAGACCTCATTTTATACCCCAAAATTTATTTTTAAGGGGCACACAGCAATAGAGTTTTTTTTTTCCTATAAGGAATTTTTAAGGTCCAATTCCTTTAACTTCCTGACTTCATTCACTCTTTATGGATTAATACACGTATATAAACTTTTCTAACTTAAAAAAATTGTAGGATTGATACGTAAACAGGTGATTCAAACTTACAAAACCTTGATATTCTAGGAAACAAATCTGAGAATTTGTTTCACAACATTAATTTCTGAAAGTTTTGTTTTTGTATTTTCGTGAGAACAGGGGGATTTTTCGTTATTTTCTCTACCTTTTTTCTATATTTAGACAACTTAAAAACAATTTTTTATGTAAGCAATACCAATTCTCTACCTGGGTTTATTAACAATAGTAACCTTGGGACATGACTGGTAAGTATTGGGTGTAGTCAATACTCTACTTGAAAATTGTGTCAGGGTTAATTGGACCCTCGATAATATTCAATGAGAGTTATAACGTCATCGATATGTACTTAAAAAATTATGAGCAATGATCACATTCGAAAAAAATACACGTGTAATTCGCCCATACTTTCTTTAATCTAGCCCATGATAACTTTTATTGTTCGCATAGTTTCGAAACTTTTTTTGTATCACTCTCATTGTTTCCAGGACTGTATTGTCTCTGAAATGAATTCAGTTAACTTCGTTAGTGAGGATAACCCATTTTACAGCCAGTATATAAAAAAATATGTATACACATATCTGATTTATCATGGCTGATAAACACAAGATGATATAAAAATCGAACAGTTTAATTGGATAAATTGTTGAACCGTATTAAATAACTTGGATAAGTTACAAATTTTATATAAAATCAAGAAATTTCATGTTTATCGTTATGTGAAAGCCTCATTCGCGCTTCGATTCAGTGATGTTTATTCTATTAAAAAAACAATAAACAATGTTTTTTTTCTGTGGAGAAACAACTTTTTTTTACATAGTTTATTCAGAAAAGCAAAGGAGGAAAATTATTTTAACCTGAAACTGCTATTTTATATAATAGTCCTTTTAACACACATATAGTTGCCATGGTTTTCTGATATAAGCTCCTGACCTAAATAATAGGGTCAGTGGACTTGTAAGAAGATGGGTGACGCGTAGTTAAGAAAAGAAATTAACATTTGTTCCTTTATTATTACCGTCTCCATGCTTTTTCCTTTTTTTTTAATTAAATTAGAATAGTTTTTCATAATTATTCAATCTCAGAACTCATATTGTTCTTCAAATTGATGTTGGTATCAAGTAGCTCTTTCATTAACCCGACAGTTACTTGCTTGAGTTTCTCTGTTACAATAGTTCTTTAAATGTCCTGTTTCATAATATAAAATAATGATTATATATACTCAGATTCTATTTAATATTAAATTCCCGTTTCGTAATAGTAAATGATGTTTTTATGTTCGGTAGAATCATTATAAATTTCTTCATCTTTCTCTATTTTTTTGAAAATCGTAATTCGAATTTCATTTTTGTTGAATATTAATACATAATCTAGACAATTTTTTTTGTGTGTGTATTTAGAACAGTTTCCGCATGGAAATACCTGTTTTGACGTTAATCTTCTTTAAAATATGAACATAATTTTAAAAAAAAGGAAAAAAATACGAAAATAAAAACACGCAGAAAAAAGAACAGACAAAAAGAACCTTTCCTCATTAAGAAAAATTTCACTATACAAAAGCTAAAGTGCAAATTAAGGAAAAGAAAATTAGAACAGATAATATAATATAGGCCTAGTTTAATTTCCCCCGAATTTTAACGATTGCCAATAACTTAATGATGTTTTAAAACTGCCCAAATTTTTCTGTTCCCATTTCGACTATAGCAAAATAATCCATAATGAATCTAGATCATGTCCAGTAACAGTAAAAGTCCCTTCTGAGAATTGTGTCAGTCGAAATAATATCAAACAGGTTATTTGGTCCTAATTCAAATTTGATACCTTACCAAACCAGCATCCTTCGTTATTCACACCCCATTTATTCTTATGCTGACACATCCTCCATTAATTCTATACCCAATAGGCCTTGACACAAAACGACCTATGCTGACAATGCCCTGATCCCGAATCCCTGTAAGTGGGCATTCCAATATGTATCCGATTATCCCATTGGTTGTCAAGTGTATATATAAGTAGTACAATCGCCCCACCTGACTTCAGTTCATTTTGAAGATATTCGGTACCATGTCACCTTATTTTATAGCTTTCGCTTTGTTGGTTGCTGTTGTTAATGCAGCACCTCAACATAATGCTCAGCAACCGCCAGCACAGGAACAAAGACCCCCACCAATAGTAAGTTACTTTGAAAATATTCATTTTATTCTGAATATTTTTAATTGCCACATCAAACAGTATGCAGCTGCTTTTGATACATGTCTGTAAAGATGTTTTCCTCTTCATAAATCTGCTGACCCATCCTTGATTAATCTTAAACTCAAGGGAAGAAATATTTGTGTCTGAGCAATATTGTGAGCCTATGGTTGCAATATATCACGTGTTTTAGAGCTGTTATTGCACATTTCTTCAATATACTATAACAATTCTTCCTCAAGTTGGGGATACTTTCCAGTCTTAAGATCACAAAATGCTCTTACATTGGACTTTGCATTGCTTGGAGCTGCTTTTCGTTTATGCTAGTCACAAACAAGTCCCTCACTGACACCAAATTGTTTTTTCCGCAAAGCAGATTATTTTAANAGAAACTTTTTTTAAATTAAAATTTAATTTAAGCATTTTAAACTGTTGTTTATCATTTTAACTAATCAAATTTATGCAGAAAGAAATCTTTTTTGTTTTTTCAATTTATCGACAGCGAATTAGTGAACTTTATCAAGCGTTAATTACAAATTTGAAAAATTAAAAACCTGTTATAACTTAAAGAAAAATGGGTCTATATATTCAAAATACTTTTTTGAAGATATTTATAAAGTGTAACTGCCCTAAATAATGGATAATTTTGACTCAACCCGATTACAAATTTCCTTTGTTTTTTTCTCACGAAAAATTAAAATAAATTAAATTTGAATAAATTAAATTAAGAATTATTTATAATTTTTTTTAAAAACAATTTGTTTTTTATTTTTCTTTTCTACAGCAAATTAATTGGGGCAAGTGCGAACAACTAAAACCTACTGACAGTGACAAGGTAAGTATATAAAAATAGTAGAAATTCTTTAAAATTAGGTCTGATAGTTCGAAACTAATGTTCCGGTTAACCGTGATATTTGTCTGGAATAACCAGTTTTCTTTCGGAAAAAAAAAATAAAAAAATAATTTTATATATTTATAATTCATTTCCTGGTACTGTTTTCACCTTGCATATTTTTATCCCCATTTATTATCTTTTGTTAAATTAGCATTTCACGATAATTAAATACTTTCCCCCTTTCTTTTTAATGTTTATTCCTGTTTCAAATTACTTTTTCTCTTCTAATTTCCATTTAAAATTAAATTTATTCTCGTGAAACAAACCATTAAATGGAGAATTCTGTAGTACTTAAAGCAATTTTCTAGTTACTGTTACGTAATATTATACTTTAATTTCTATTCTTGTTAATTTTCCTGTTAAATTTGTATTTGTTTTTCGTGTAATAAAACTTTAAACATCATTTTCCAATCGTTGTCAGGAGTAAATTAAGCTTACATCCTTGAAAGAAGGCAGAAAAACTATAAATTTACGGTACACGATTTTGTAATTCTCTGCATCATAGAACAGATAAAACTCTATTCAGTGTTCAATCACCGAAAATTACGGATTTTCCTGTATTTAAAGTTCATAAAAGTTTCAAATACAGCGAACTGTAAAATGATTTTTAATACAATTGAACCTCCAATAACAGACATCTCCCGACAACGATCATTTTTTCAAAAAATTTGCATATTAACCTTCAAATTATAGCCATTTAATGTCTATGTCAGTAGCCGTTGTTTAGAGGTTTGACTGCTATAGAATTGTCTACAAAAAAACATATTTTGCAATAAGTTTAATTAACAATAATAAAAAATAATATATGATCAATGACCGTATAATTAAATAAAAAATAAAATTAGATATCTTAATTATAGAATAATTTATTGAATAATTTATAAACAAAGTTGACCTGTGTTTAATGCTTTGTACAATGTTAAATAATCACTATTGTAAGACTTGTTGTATTAAATTTTTTATATATTTCTCTATGGGTAACATTAAGTTAAAAACTTTAAATATTTTTATATAAATTATGAATTGTTTTAAATTCTCGGGAAACTATGTTAAAATACTGATATTTTATAATAAAATAATATAGTCCAACCTCTAATAACGGCCACCTCTCAACAGCAGTCATTTTAAGAACGTTTTTTGAACAAAAATTCGTACAAAATAACCTCCGAACAACGGCTAGTATTTATGTTTCTGTTAGCAGCCGTCGTTTAGAGGTTTGACTATGATTTACAAATTATATAAGAATTTAAGAATCGTTTGGACTTAAATATATGTTACAATATCGAACATTTGAGATGATAATTAAGTGAATAAAGAAAAAACTTTGAGTTTTATGCTTATTTTCTTGAGAATATTTCTATACAAATTTATCTACAAATATCTTATTTACAGGAACAGAAACGTCAAGTGATAGAAAAGTGTTTAGGAGCTAATCCACCACCAAATACAGAACGTATCACAAGAGTAAGTTATTTTAATTTATCATATTTAAAGATATTCAAGATGATTTTTTGTCTTAAATTTTAATTATGTTTAAACGTATTTATTGTAGGAACAAATTGAACAACACAGAGATGTTATCACAAGTTGCGCTTTGAAAGAAGAAGGATGGGTAAGAATTCGTAATTTTTACATTAATTAATTAACAAGTTGCTAACAGAACAGTGACGGAAGTTACTAACATCAAACATTTATATATATATATATATATAACAAGTAAACATACGTTTAATTTAAAGCGTGTATATACGTAACGTAACGTAAGCTGTAACAATATTTCTAAGGGTAGAAGTAGAAGAATTATTAATTTATTAAATTTGCTAATTATTAAAACACGTTTCGAATTCGATTGCTTAAGTTTTGTTTGATTATATATTTATTTAATAAATTAAAAATATATTTAGAAAAATTCCTTCTTAGCAAAAGCATCTGTGTATTTATTAAAATGAAAACGTGTAAAAATTTGTATAAGCTTTCTATATGTGTATGTATGAATATATATGTTATACAGTAAAACCTGCGTTAACCGGAATATTTTTCTGGTTTCCGTTTTGAGCAGAGTTTTCTTAAAGTAGAAATTCGCTCCGTTTCCAAGAATTTTTTCCGTTTAGGCAGGATTTCCTCTTTTCTGGTTTCCGTTTTGGACAGGCTTCACTGTATATATATTCGAGAAAAATCCCCAGGTTCACTCTCTTGACGGTCCTGCTTATGTTTATATATTAATTCATATATATTCATAAGCATGGCTGTTGAGAGAGGAAAGCTGGGGATTTTTCCCTGAACCATGAGAAACTTTACGGGCGGTAGTGGTTCCCACCCTTAAATTAATGTTATTTTATTGACAGAAAATAAAATCTTTAAGACTGCATTTTATTAATAAATATGCCATTTCTTTTTCTTAAAAAAGGGGACAAAAAGGCCTGGGCCTCTTAGAAGATCTCGACATAAAGCTTATATGTTGATAAACATACTGCTAGAATCGAGATTTAGAATCTAATTGGTTCATGTTCAATTCAAATCTGGTTTTTGCTGAATAATACAATTGTAGAAGAACCTGTTTGTAACGAATACTTTCTGAGTTTTACAAATTTACTTTTAAAGATTTTTAAATAAATAATTTTCATGCTTTATGTGACATAATCATCGTGTTTACCACCGAAAAATAACCTAATGCTACCCTAATGCTAGTATGATATAAAAACAATTACCATTATTTATTTTTTTCAATATATAACTCGTTTATTTTACATTATACCAGAATTTTAATTATAAATAATATCATTTTATTGATTTACAATAATTTTTTCCTCCATTTTGCTTTCAGTTTGATACCAATGGAAGTTACAAATTCGATAGAGCCAGAACAGAAATTAAATCAAAGAAATTGCAATCTGACGTAAGTTCAATTGCTGCAAAAATATTTGAAATAAAATGCATTATAAATATTCAATCAACTTTTTTAAAAAATGATAATTTTTAACAGATTGAAGGCACCATTTTGAAAAAACACGACGAATGCGAACAAGATGCGGTATGTAGTTTCATAATTATTCTGTTATAATTATTATCTTTAATTATTCTATTCTATTATTTTCATATGATACGATAATTGTATTCTTATTAAAATTACAGAAACAGAGATTCCAAGAGCCAACCGAACAAGTAAAATTGTACCAAGCTTGCATGGATTACCATATTTCTGAGGTAAGCCTTCACACAAAAATTTATTTTTTTAAATAAATCGCATTATATTATAAAAGCATTTATAAATATTAATTTTTATTCTAGACCTGTAACATTCACGTCATTCCTCCACCCGGACACCAATTTCCCCAAGGTCCCCCTCCTCAACAAGGACCTCAACGCGGTTGAACAAGGTAAGTTTAAAAAATGTATACAGCATTTTAAATTACTTTTTTAAACCAAAAACTTAAATGCAATATTAACTAACTTAAATTAATTACGGAGAAGTCTGTATAAGATTACAGTCAAACCTCTAATAACGGCCATTTTTTTTTCTTTTTCCATCAATGGCCATTGTTTGGGGTTTCACTGTATTTGTATTAAACTTGTATAAATTACTCAAAATTTTAAAATTAATCGTTAAATATAAATAAAATGATAAAAAATAAATCTTATACTAATATTAACTTTATAATTTTTCTTAAATTTTGAATTTTATTTACAGATTTTTGAGACGTCGCATCAATTGATACTCCGGTCCTTCACTTAAAGTCCTTCAATCGTATCAAAAAATTAATTAAAAAAATTATATATATACATAAAATTTTTATAGAAAAACTAAGCGCAATAATTATAAATCACAGTACGAAAAGATTTTTTATATTTAAATTTTGTACCGGGTGATATATATTTTTTTGTTTTTGTTTTGTTTATATGAAAATTTATTTAATTCGTTCTTCACTTTAAATAGAAAAAAGCAATAAGGTGATGGAATTATATTTTAAATTTTCATCAAAAAAAAAAAAATAATAATAATTTATGAGCATCTTCTAAAACGATAAAATGTAATTTCTTCTATTATTTAAATCTGACGTTTTGTAATATAGTAAAATTTAATTTACATCACTCCTAGTCGCTTGTATTAATGGCGTCGATCGCCTGATATCTTTCCTTTTTTTTTACGTATATGTATTTTCCTGTATAGAAAGTCAATAATATTATTTCTTTAAAAAAATGTATGAATTTTGTTTTCTTTCTTCCATAAAATCACCTGATGTCTGTCTGACGGATTAAGACCTTCCGGGGCATTTAGGCACAGAATATTAGGGCTTCTCAACATAATTTTACATCAACATAAGCTAATAACTTCTAAATATAGCTATAGAATTGCTTATAAATTATGAGATACAATTGCAACGGTAAAATTGCTTTACTTTTTTCCAATTTCGGGCCTCCCCGAGAGCCAGACTTTAAGCATGCCTCTTGCGTGAAGTACATGAACAGAAATTTATCGAAAAGATAATTTTAAAAAATACCTTAACTTATAGCCAAATTTAAATAATTATAAATGATGGTTCAAAAGTCAGTTAACCGATATTTCATGAATCCTGAGTTAGAGCATGCAGCTGTTAGAGGAACTGATTTTAACTGTTCTTGAGTTGTATCTTGGTTAACTGACTTTTAGTCCCCGTATATATTTTTAAGTTATAATCTGTATAAACGTATAAGAATTTTGTCCTTTAGCAAATTATATTAATTACATTATGCTTATTTTTTATGGTAGGCTATATTGTAAATTACATTCATGGTAATTTATTAAATTTACTTATATAAACAGTTGATAACCTCAAATATATATACATAAATTGTTTTTAAAATTAAAAAAACTGCATTAAAAGAAATTTTGTTAATAAATTTATTAACAATGCATTTCAAAATTTATAAAATTTAAATGTATAAAATATTTATTTTATGAAAATTTCATAAAATCATAATTACAATTGATAAATATTAGCTCATAAAAATATTTGTTAATTGCAATGAATTTATGAGATTTAACAAAACACTATAAACGTATTCTGAAATAGTAAATATGACGTTGAATTTACATACATCATAAATTTATACATGACATAAAATGGAAAAGAGTTTTAAAAAAAATCACACTACAAATATTAGTTCTAATATAATACTATATGAGCGTGTGGTAACATTATATACTGGCCTGTTACTGTCATCTGACAAAATTTAAGATAAATAAAATATTAAAATAGCATAAATAAAATGAAACATATTTTAACATTTGGATAAGGAGATCAAAATTCAGAAATGGAACATCAGTTGAGTTCCCTTATGCCTCGTCTTTAGCAGCAGCGAGCTGATCCAGTTGGACTTCTTCAGTTTGATGTCTTTTTATTGTACACTTGTTCCTTGTAAAATAGTACCAATCGGGAAAAATATAATATTTTATACGCGTAAGAGGTGCCTCCACTCCTAAGTGGAGGAAAACTGATAGAACCATCACCACAAAAAACGTACTTAGGAATTCGTAAACCTGAAAAAACATGCGTGTTAGAATTTTATTAAATATTATAATTATTTTTGTGGTTGACTACCTATAACACTATACTTATGGAACTCAAAATCATGTATAAACACAGTGTTTGTGGCACCATAAAGCCGTGCCACAAACACTGTGTTTATACATGATTTTGAGTTCCATAAGTATAGTGTTATAGATGTAGTCAATCACAAAATACCTTATGACAATTCGTTTATAATTAGCGATGGCATTCATAGAAATTGGCATACGAGCGGAGCTAAACTCCCATTCATGCCATAATCACCTATATTATAAACTAATTGCATAATATACTATTAAAAAATACTTACCATGTTATAATTGCTAAATACCAATGTCTGCCTCAACAGTCCATATCTTAAAGCCAGAACAATTTCATGAAGAAGAAAAGCACAGTAAGTTAATCGACTCAAAGGGATAAATAATTTAAATGAAAATATCTTATTGGCGAATCCTATGAGAGGAAAAAATCACAATTAGAGATTATAAATAATCTTAATTTTAAAAATTAAAATTAAGCTTACCAGCTTTCCCGGTGATGCAAGCGTAACAAATCCATGAAAGTCCAATGGCCCAACATAATCTAGTGATGGCTGTAAATTGTGCAGTTCCAAAAGGACTAGATACGTAGCCTGAATATACTCTATGTGGAAGATATATTACTAATAGATTGCACATCAAAGCTCCACACCACATGACAACTTGAATAATCTGAAATATAAGCTTGTGTAATGCAATATTTCTTATATTTGTCAATTATTGTGATTAAAATAATGCATACCTTTTTAATTTTAGTTTCAGAATATCTTAAGATGAAGTATCCAGTAAATAATCCGATACAAAATGGTCCCACGTGAGTGTATGGTTTCATGTATAAATCAGCTATGCGATGCTGTAAACTAAATATAAAGATTTTAATTTGTAATTTTTTATAAATTGTAATATATATAATGTAAAATCTTACTCTTTATCAGGTAAAATGGTCGATGGAAACATATCTGTAAGTATCATATAGATAACAATGGTTAATGAACAAACTATAATTAAGAATACTCCTATTGCTATACCAATTTTCCGTTTCCTGTAATAATAATTTTCTTTTTAAACTTAATTTTTCATTGCTTCCTTAATTTTAAAATACTGCTCATAATATGACTTACTTGAAAAATGGTATAAGAATTATTAATGATAAAATATGCAATTGAACATCTACCGAAGTATACCAAGATACTTGAAGACACTAAAGAATTAAAACAGCAATAATAAATTTAGTTTTTAGTATATAAATTTACAATTATTTATCACTATAATAATTTATCTAACCATGTTATCATAGGATATCCAGTTGTTGATGAATAATAACGTAGCCCACCAATTTTCTTGGCATTGCTCGACCCTGGATCCAACAAATTCTTCCCAAACCGGACCAGATCCAACAATTGGAAGTAGTAAAAGAGAACAAATTACAGCTATCAAAACGGGGATTAACCTAAATAAAATAGTAAAATTACTTGTATACTAATTTAATAGAATTTAATTAATTTTCTTTTTAAAAAATTACCTAATAAAACGACTAAATAAAAAGTAAGTTATGCATATTTTTCCATTTTTTTCTTCTACTCCTTTGTATGTAATATACATAAGCAAAAGGCCACTTGAAATATAAATTAATTAGTCTTCATTTATGTATCATCGTAATAATTTTATTTAAGAAACTTAAGATAATTACCTCATAAAAAAGAAAGAATCGATTGATATCCATGCATTTAATACAGTTTGAAAACTTACGTCTTTGACTGTATCGCGAATTAAACGCAAACCTTCTACAAAAATCAAGATTTAAATGTATCAATATAATATTTTATTGCGATTAATCATTAGTTTAAAACAAATAATATTAATATAGACTTACTATAGTGTTGAGGATTAAAAAATGCAAAGCTGCTACCAAGTATTAACCACGAAAGAGTTAATACCCTGATTCCATGAAGAGCTTTGAGATTTTCTGTTGCTGTTTTTGTACTGATTAATTTACTGCCATTTAATCGAAGCGAAAATGAACAAAAGACGAAACGAATATGAGCTGAAAGAAATTAAATTAAATTTATTTATTGTCGCATGATACTATCTTTATTATTAAAGTCAAAAATTATTGGATGATCGTAATTAAGGTACCCCTATACAATGCTGGCTATAGATAATTAGCGTCCAAATGTAAACGAATACTACTCGGGCAACGGCATTTTAAAATTAAGTTTTGTAGATGGACAAAACTTAATTTTAAAATGCTCCGTGCAGCAAAAGAGTAGACAGGGGTAGTCTGAGCTGGAAGGGTCTATGTCAGATAAACAGGATGGAAGGAGACACGTGGTTACCTCCTTGAGAGTTCACCATGAATCTGATCTCTTCAACTGTTTTGTTTTTTACATTTTTAAAACGTCTTTATCATAATTTATCATTAATACGTCATCTTTATCATAATTTTTTTGTTTTATTTTTTTACAAATTGTATTCCTTACTCTTAATTCTAACGTTACTCACACATTAATCACGTGTCTCCTTCCAGCCCTCTCATCTGACACTGACCCTTCCAGCTCAGACTGACTCATGTCTACTCTTTGAATGCCAGGACTATAGTGATGGAAATATATCTCTTAATAATAATTAATTTTCAAAAGGTACAATGATAAAACCTAGTTACAGAAGACGTCAGTCCATAATGAATTATTCTCAATTTCTCCAATTACGGATAGATTAAGTCTCGATGAAGTCATACAACATGAATGACCAGAAGAGAAATTTTTTCTAAAAAGTATTCATGAAAAAATTATTAGAATCAAATTAGTGTAATTGGAAAGTGAACATTGGAAAGTATTTACATTTTGTCTCCAATTTACATCGCAGACCATCCATTTCATAAGTTCATTGTTATATAATAACAATAAGTTCATTGTGTTACATTTTCTCTATCGCATTAACTCCCAATGAGTTTTTCTTACTGATGGCTGAGTGGATAAAACCACTGTATTCACTGGAGTTTGTACTTTACTAATAGGCTGGCCATGTATTTTCCGGGTTTTCTTTATGTGTAGGCCTATACACCTAAATAGGGGCTAGTTTTCCATTGAAAGTCCTCTCAGCAGGCACCCCTTTGGCAAATCATTCGAGTACATTGCCTCATTCCATCAATCCTACCTCATCCCAATTAGTTTTACCTTTTTCGATTAAAAAAATGTTTACATTATTTTAAATTATCCTATAATGTTTTTAATTATAATATGCTGTTTGTTGTTTGTGTATGTCTATAGTTTGGTCAATGTCGTTTCGTGTTGCATTGCATTTTGTATCACATTTATAATGGATTACATCACATTCTATTCGAGCATGCAATGAAAAATTGTTAAGGTTATAACAATAAATTTTTCAAGTACAGATTATAAAAATATTTTAAAATGCTACAAAAATTAGCATTTAGATCTATTTTTTATCATCAAGATAAATTTTAGATAAAAAAATTAATTATTATTATTAAATTTTGCAATTTTATTTAATGGTAAAAATTAATATAATAACTTTACATTAAAAATTTTAAAAAATTATATTTATATTTTTTGAACTATTAAAAATTTAAAAAAGGAGAAACTAGACATCAAGTCATAAATTTACAATAATGTATTTTGTGTTATACAATGCTAATTTCCGATTTCAGTGACCTAGTGAAACTATTTTTTTTTTCTTTCATTTATTATAGTTAATTACATATAAAATGTTACATTGTAACATTGGAACGGAAAAATGTCTTAAAAAATCATTAATGTTTAAAAAATAAGTTTAAAAATTTACAAATGTATTTTACACATATAAAATGTACCTATTTGACACTTCAAAAACTAATATTTAAATATAAGAAATTATCATATTATAGAATATAAAAATTTATTACTGTTTAATCTATAAACTTTTAACTGAAAGTAGAAAATTAATGAATAAAGCGCTTGTAATTATCGAATTTTCCATATATAAATGTGAGATGTACTAACAAGTAAGTGGTTAAGTACTAAGTGGTGATGTATTAATATATCATTAAATTGCTATTAACAATAATTTAATGTACTTATAATGTAATATTCGATATTACCTAGTCTGTAATCTAATGTACAGTAAATATAGAATAAAAAAATAGTCTTGTATCAGTTTATGTGAAAACGTTTCTATAATAGCCTAGTTGTGTTCTCTAACTTTATCTTCTATTCACTGAAAAAAAAACCCACAAAAACTAAAGATAAAAAATACCCAACCAGTTTAAGCGAATGCCTCGAACTATTTGGGCGTTCACAAGCTTACTTTGCAATTGTTCGCAATACAACTCAACTAAACAAATGGTGCACTGATCTACTTTCCACATCGTGTGTGATCGTCTTACACCCTTTCCTTACAAAAAGAAAAGTGTAATACTATAATCAAAACAATATAACAGATTTTAATATTTTTCTAATATTATTTAATCATTAAATATACACACACATATATATTAATATTAAATAAACAAAAATTGATAGATGTAATTCAGGGGTAACTGAACTTTCATCATTTACTCCCAATTACTACAAAGAGGCCATTTACCCATGCTCTTATAACCTAAAATCAATACGGTTAAACTTGGAAATCTAAGATAATCTTTATTATAATAAACATATCACTTCTAAGAACGTTAAGGGTGTTAATTAGATTTTCAATAATTCTACAAATTGTGAAATGCTATTTAAAAAATTACATATTTATTAGGCTATTATGTTTCTGTCATAGTTTTCTTTATTAGAAATGTATCTCAGTTGTAAGTCATAACATCTATGCAATAAAATATTTTATTTTCAATAATCACTAATCAGTATAACTATTTACAAGTTAAAATCCTTTATATCTTTATGATATTTCTCAGAAAATAATGAAATTTTACGATATGCCATTTTAAGTTTTGTAGATGGATATAGTCCGTGCAGCAAAAGAGTAGACAGGGGTAGCCTGAGCTGGAAGGGTCTATGTCAGATAAACAGGATGGAAGGAGACACGTGGTTACCCGATATTTCATGAATCCTGAGTTAGAGCATGCAGCTGTTAGAGGAACTGATTTTAACTGTTCTTGAGTTGTATCTTGGTTAACTGACTTTTAGTNCTTTATGATATTTCTCAGAAAATAATGAAATTTTACGATATGCCATTAAATGGTGTATAAAGTGTTTTTTTTAGAAATAGGTCAATAAAATAATTTAAAATAAATATTAATGTGGTATAATATTCAATAAATTTCCAGAATTTGATGATAATTATTTTATTATGTTAAGTATGATTTTAAAAAGACTAATCACGCGGTTTATTTTAGGGCATTTAAGACTATATCAAAAGAAAATTAGTTGGAGAAAATTTTAGTAGAGCATCTAGTGTTATAAATCACATAATTAGGCCGATGGTCAAGAGGGTAAAGACACTAACATGCTGTTTTTGGGGAGATATAGCTTCAAATCCCGGTCGAGTCCCGTCCTTCATTAGGCCACCTCCATTGTGAATTTGATCAAATCCATGATAGATGAGAGTAAGACCCCTTGGTGCATCAGGGCGAAAAGCCCTGAGGTACCAGGGATCTTTTTTTTAAAAGTTTTATCCTTTCGAGTTAAAGCTTTAAAAAAAACGTAACCAAAAAGAAATATAAAAACGTGAGTATAATACTGTACTTGTTTACGAAGGGACTAATAGCACGTGATTTTCATGGGTTAACTAGCTTGTTAGGAAATCTACAGTTAAATCCGCCCATAGAAATAAATCTTTTCTGTCTCATAAGTTTATAATAATTGCAATTATTATCATTTTTTATAGTAAAGATCTAGGAAAAAGTGCATTTGACATTTTTTATTTTAACAATTGCACAATGTGTTATTAAAATGTGCCTTGAGCGAAACTAGAGACAGTAATAATGAAAGTATTCTTAGCATATAATTAATATTGAGCTTAGCTGATAGATGGCGTTGCAATCGATGAAATCTACAGTATTATTAAATATTCAAATAGGTTATTGTGATTAAATGCCATCTGTTGTCAGAAGAGAGAATTAATTTTATTTTATTACGGAACTAATGAAAACCAAATGAAATGTATGCAAGTATTTATTTTGAATATATTAAAATACATTAATGATATTAAATGAAAAATCTTTCATTTTATATATTCCAAAAGAGTAAAAATAAGATAGAAATGTGTATAAACTATAGCTATGAATTGTCTCAATTTTTAATTTATTTATTTCAGTTACAAAATAATAATTGTATAAGTGTTTTTCGAGAGAATGGCGCTACCATTAGTATTAATATATATCTGTTTATATATTTTTTGAATGATACATTCGACAATGCTAAGAAACTCGTGTCTTATAATTAAATGTATTATTTATTTGTCAAATAATTAAATAAAACATGAATATAACATTTGCGTTCTTATGCTTAAAGAAAGATGCCAAATATTTAATTAATGTTAAATTTAATTTAAAAGCGACATCATCAATAAATGATAATAATAAATATGCATAGATAAAACATTGCAGATGATTTTTGAAATATTTGAAATATCATTATATTTTTCACTTTTTTTTTTTTTTTTTTTTTGGTCCTTTCGGGGTTCCGTGCACCTTCCATATCTTAACAATATTATTTGATGTGTACAGATAATGGTGCAATCGACCTGTTGCTTTTTTTTTTTTTTTTTTTTTGCTGGTCCTTTCCAAAGCAGATTCAATAAATAAGGTTAGTAGCACTGCTATAGAAAAATAGCGTATAAGGTTATGACTAACTCATATTATAGAAAGAGTATATCGTAGTAAATTCCTATAACGGTAGTCCTGTTCCTTTAGGTAGCATTTGTGTTTACAATGCAATTTATAAAATGACGTCGCCACAAATCAAACTGCTCCAGAATCGAATAGCAAGTTATTTGATTTTTGACAGCTGAATTTAACACTGTGCACTTACGGTTTTTGAGATACGTCGCAGGACGTATGCACAATATGAAGACATGCAGGACGTATGCACAATATGAAGACACGCAAAAACCTTGCAAGACCAAAGAAACAGACGATGAGTCTTGACTTCCAATCCAAGCTTTTTGTAGCAACATGCACGATTCTCCATATTGTGCATATATCCTGCGATAGATCTAATTAGATCTAAAGTCTTCAGTATGTAAAACGCACATTTCAGCGCAATGTTTATGAAAAGGTACTGTATTTAATATATTTAAGACAAAGTGTCTTTGGCCTCCAAAGTTTGTTTTTTACTGTATTCTGATTAAAAAGAAAGTGAAATTAGAATATACATTTTAACCTATCGGGGATACAGAAGAGTTTAAAAGAAATTATTTACAATTAAACATTTACCATTAAATATTCTATACGAATACGTGCAAAATCTGCCTTAAATAAAGAAAATAATGATATGTTTAATTAATCAGTAACATTTTTATTCAAGAGTTAGGCTAGGCGAGGACTTACGTGTAACCTACTGAAGGCCGTTTGGGGATTTCATTAATTTAACCAACGGGAGATTGCAATTTTTTGAATTTTGGGGGAGAGAAGTTGCGTTTTATATGCCATAAAATACGAAAATTACATATTTTATTATTATTAAATTAATTAATTAATTAATTTAATTTAATTAATATAAAAATATTAAACTTACCTAATATACGGATTTTCGAGTTATTACTATGATGAATTAAATCCAACAGTGTTCCACATATTATTAGCATAACTATAGCACTGATACAACATCTAGACATAAAATCACAAAGTAAATACTGTGGTTTACATAGAAAAATCATAAAAAATTGAAAAATAAATCAATGTAATAAACGCACAAGATAACTATTTGTAAAATGCTCAAATCAAAGTTGACTTCAGTTTCACATCTTGGCACTGATACATCGAAATTTAATTTGTATATACGTAAAACTAAAAAGAATAACGAAATGAGTTTTTATAATTATATACATACATTTATATTTACATATTAAAAATAATACCTCCATGTATAATATTTTGTAAATCAAGTTTAGAACAGGTTGATGGAATACAAATACCATATCTTAGTTTCATGAAATGAAAGACGAAACTATATTTCAGCATCGAATTAAATAACTAAATTAATAGAAGATTAATTATTTTAATAAATCAAAAAATCTCATTAATTTTTATTCAAAAATTAATTAATATATTTACATTTGAAGAATTTATGTTCTTAACATCAATTAATTGACGAGTTAATTGTCTTTCATGAGGTTTCGGAGGCATTTTGGGTCTTCCTTCGATTACACAATACTGTCCTTTAAATAATATTTTTGACTTATCTGGTCGATCTTCCAAAGCGCTAATCCTTAAACATTCATCATACGCTCCAAAAGTCGTCATGGTTCCATCTAGGATACCTGAAGGGGGTTTACCCATAGCATCCATCACTGAAATCAATATCAAATAAATACTTTTAAAAGTTTAATTACAAATTCACTGTTTGAAAGATTTGTGTAATTAAAATATAAAAAAAATGTCCACACTTCGTCATTTCGATTAAATTCAATTAAATCATTAGCTGTTTTTAATCATATAATTCAATGAAATATCCTATTTTATCGAATTCTTTAGTCACTAAATACTCAAATTTTAGGTTAGAAATCAACCATATAAGAATGTTGCAGTAGGATTTTCAAAAACGAAATATTCTGGAAGACATATTAACTTTTATCATTCTAAATCTGAGTTTTTATTCAACTATTTTTTCGTAGAAGGAATTTGAAATTCTTTCAAATTTATAACTAACAATGCTTATTTAAAAAATCTAGCGACGATGATTTGCGTAACTTACCCGGCTGTTAAAAAATAAACTCTCACATTATATTTTTAATTATAATAAATGAAATTGTGTGTGGCGCCATCTGTTACGAGATTTTATATAAAAAATTTATTATTAATTATTATAAAATAGCAAAACGCTTAATTTTGAAGGTAATGATAAGTTTTATATAAAAAAAAAAGTTATAAATGCTAATAATGAATAACATCTTTATTAAAAGTTCGACCACCTCGATACGGGACCTAACTCTATCTTCCCAACTCTTGATCTTTAACCACCAAAATTTAATAGCATCAATGCCCCTTATACACAAAACACCATGCCAAATTTTATTTCTTAATCTTCCCTCCATCCTGAAATATTAAACGAAATAGACGCCAAAACACACATATCCGCAGAATTATTTTGCTTTTTTTGGGTGGGTTTAAGTCTCGAAACGTGGAGATTTACAAAACATTCGGAGGATCAAATTTAACACGACTCCAATACTTTTCCTTGTTACATAACAGCAGGGATAAGTTATATGTAAAATTATTTACTGTTGAATTCTGACAATACGATAAGAAAATGAGTAAATGAAAGGACGTGTTCGCGCGTGCGAAAAGAGGTGAATACGTGTATGATATTGTAAATAATGTTGGAGAATAGTTGCAACAATCACTTAATTGCTTAATCGACTTCTGCGACGTAGCTGAACATGGAAAATTGCACTTGTTTGTTGGACTAAACGTGATATTTTCCATTAACCTTATGATACGCATTTGCCTAAATGCGTATCATAAATTATTTAAATTAATTTGAAAGTGAATAACAATTAAAAAAGGCGAAAATTAAACCGTGCCGGCACTTCTTATAATCAGGAAAATCATATTTTAAGAATATTATATCTAAACAGATCGCTCATAACTTTAATACCTTCGAGGAAGGAAGACAATACAAGTTAATAATATAAGCTAGCAGCAGAATATTCAAAGATTTATTATAACGAGATACAAAACGAATAGATCTAATAACAAGCTTTTTAATCCAAATCTATAGTATAAATATAAAAATTGTTTATTCAACAAGAGAAACAAAATTTCATTTTTTTATTACAATTTGATGTCACATTCTTTGTTTTAACGCAACGTTGAAGCAATGTAAATAATGCATCATGCTAATCATTACATCAGATATGGTCTTTTGATAAATCTTAAATCAATTATGGTAAGTATTGTTCAAGAGCAAATCTCGGTTGCACTTCTGAGATTTGCTTCGTTCTTTCTTTTCCCTTTTATACCTTTGCTTAAATTTTAAAAACAAAAAGGTATTTAAAAGGTATACAAAAAAATTTAGTTTATTAATAACCTTTACGCTGAAGTAACTACAATCTGCACCCTTAGGAGGAGGTTTTTGGCTCTCTTTAAACAGACAGTAGGAACAGTACTACCAGTATTTGGAAGACACAACTTTTACTTTCCCAGATGTTATTTAATAGAGAGAGTATGGCGGTCGGCAAGATTTTTACATTTTTTAAGTCCAAAACGTTCAAGGTCTCCTCCTTGAACGTCGAGAATGCAAAAAAAAGTTGGATTTTTTTTTGTTTGTTTTTTACACGTGTTTATTTTCTCTCAAGAAGATTGATGAATATTATATAGATGCAAACCTGTTTAAGGAACTTGGTTATATTGAATTAATTGATTGACTGTTTGATCTAAATCGTATATGATTATATATTTATCCCTCCGAGACAAATTGCTAACGTCCTTGGTTCTGTTTATTATAGAATACAATAGTTTTTTATAATAAGCAAGAACTGTCTGCACTGCTCTGCACGGGTCATATGAGTGTTGTTTATAATACACTAAATTTGTAATTGATGATTTAATTGTTGAGTTGTACGTTAGTGAATATTATAAATAACTGTTTTATCTTACTGTGAAATTCCCAGAAATATTTGTTCTTGCAACAGCAAAACAGTAGAAATTTGTTAGCATTATTAGTAATAATGCTAACAAATTTCATGTAGAAGTAAATTATAGGGTGCTATACTGCACTATATAGCCACCATGGGCAAATGCGGCTCTTTTTGAGTTACGTGCGGCTCTTGCTGAAAGTGTTAATTTCTGATTTTTATTATTATTTTAAAAATTTTATTTTCACAATTTTGTGAAAATATGTTTATTAAAAAAATTCGATATTTGTTTTATATAATATTTATATTATATAATAAAATCGCGGTACAGAAATGTAGTACAGAATAAAAAAAGTACAGAACTGCGGCTCCCATGCATTTTGCAAAACCTACATTTCGGCTCCCACTGAACTCTTGCTTGCCCACCCCTGCTATATAGGATAATGTAGTTTATAGTGGCAAGTAAGGAGTTTAACTAAAATTCTACATCTTCAAATTCTCTAGAGTCGGACAGCATTCTCTATTCTAAGATTTAATGAAGATTTTTGGAAATATAATTATAAATACTGTCGTATATTGAGCGCGAGAAGATCGAGTTTATAAGTCGAGAGCTTATCAGCCGAAGGGATTACTCTGGTAATTAGGAAAACTCTGGTGCAATCGGAAGTTTAAACAGAGTTTGAACCAGACGATAATAGTCAAGAACATGATTCCTACAAAGACATTGAAGTAGCCACAAATGACAGCAGTTACAAGGTATTTCAATTGTTGTAACTGTTACTCATAAATAGGGGCGCCCGTACATTGGGTCACGTGTCCCTTTTCGTCTGTGAGGCCTTTTACCTAACTCCCAAGTAGCATCAAATTCCCTTATCAACAAACAATAGAAAACTTATGACTTCTATCCAGGGGCGAATTCTCTGGGCTTGCTTAGCATGCGCCGCATACTTAAGAGAAAGTTTTGACTGTGAGAACAAATATGCCAATAATAATTTATTCTAATGTGTAAACTCTTTTATCATTTGTGTTTCCTTTTACATTGGCAGCTAGCGGCTAGCCGTTTGAAGTCAGTGCGATGCTTGCGGAAACCGATTGCTTGCTCGTGTGGAGGGTTTTCGCAGCAAACGAGTGTGCTTGCATGACGTCATTCGAAGCATTTAACACGACCAGATTGTATCCAAAGCTTGCGATACCCAGTCAGCATACATGTATTGTGTACAGTGGCTGATCTACATAGGGATTAATAAGGCTTAAGCCCTGTGCCCCAGTGTCGAGGACCCACAAAAATTGAATTAGTATCATAAATTTTTAATACCTTTTCATATTTCATATATTTCATGTGTAGATAGAGTAGGCTTTATAATAGTCCATACTTTTTTATTCACACCAAATAACGTTTCTGCCTATTGTTTAGTGCTAGACATAGGCCTATTATCTTATTATAACTTTCAGCATGCCCAAAAATTTTGGTCAGGATTCGCTCCTATTCCGCAAATATAAAAGAAATTAATGAACGATATTTATCTATTGTCCCATGCAACTTAGTCGTATGTCGACCAAAACTTGGCCTCGAAAACAAAGAATATTCCTTAATTTCAAGTCCAAGTTAGCCCCGATTGCAACTTTGTGGGAGCGCTCATCCGACGTTGAACTACAAGAAGCTTCAACGACGTTTGAAGCTTCTTGCATAATGCCGTTTTTTATAGTTTGTGCCCTCTTCTTTTTTATAGTCTGCCCATTAATGTAGTCAAGAAATGATTTTGATAGTTCGAAAAATGTACAAATAATTAAGGTATTTTTTCAATTTTCCCTCACTTTTCTCCTATTACAAGGTAATAAACCACGAGCTTTAAAAAACCTGGGAATACGCACGTTTTAAAAATAACCTCCCTCGGAGTTATTTTTACAAACAAAATAAAGCATTCCTAGAAGTTCTAGATTCAGATTTTGTTAATCTGGTCTTGAATTACTGTAGTTTAAAAAGTTTAAGAATTCAAATAAATTTTTATTCCTTTATTTTTGCATTGATTGTAAGTATTGCAAGATATCATATCTTGCAATACTTTCGATCTGGAATGAATAGCGAAATATGTAAATAAACTTACGGGGGAGATATGAATTTGCACGTGCGATTTAACTTACTATACAGTAGAACCTCGATTATCCGCCCCCCGATCAACCGACCCCTCGGTTAACCGACCGTCCTAGTCGGCAAATTTCAAATGTCCGCTAGTGATGTGGCGCTACAATATTTGGCTATGTCTTGGCTACTTTAATATTATTTTTACGTGTTTTAGCTGGCAACACTCATTCGACCATGAAAGGGAGCCAGTATTTAAACG